AGGAAGGAAGGAAGGAAGGAAGGAAGGAAGGAAAAACACAGGGAGAGAGAGAGACCCCAGGCAAAAGAGAGAGAGAGAGAGAGGGAGGGAGGGAGAGAGAAAGGGGAAAAAAGAAAGGAAGGAGGAAAACACACACACACACAGAGAGAGAGAGAGACAGAGAGAGAGAGACACCAGGCAAAAGAAAGAGAGAGGGAGAAAAAAAAACTCTTGAGGAGGGCTTTGCTCTGCTGGCCCAGGGAACAACGGGGAGACCCGGCCGGGTCACCCCCCCCCAACCCCGTCAGCGGAGATGCCCGCCTTACCTTCGCAGCGCTGCCCAGCCAGAGGAGGGTGAGCGCGTGCATGGAGGGGCTCTTGCCAACCGCCACGGGCAAAGCCGTCGGGGAGAGCTGGAAGCGACGCCTGCCTGTCTCCGCGGGACATCGGGGTGGGGTGCCGAGGGCGGGGGAGGACGGCTCCTCTACCTGCCGCCGCCGCCGCCGCCTCCGTCACCGCCGCCGCCACCACCACCACCGGCAGCAGCAGCAGCAGCAGCAGCCGAGCCGTGCGGCGGGAGCTCCACTCCCCACCACATGCTTCCAGCGCCGGGGGCAGCCCGCCTTGGCATCCCCCCGCTGCACCGCCCCCAGCGGCGGGCACCGGCGCGGGGCAGCCCACCCCGACACAGGGGGAGAGAGAGAGAGACGCGGCGCGGGGCAGGGCAGCCCCCTTCCCCGCCTCCGCCCTGGCCAGCGCGCGCCTCCCGCGGAAAGGCGCGGGGGAAAGGCGAGGCGCGCGGCGCGGCTGCCCGGCTGACTGGATGGCGAGGAGGCGCGCCGAGCCTCCGCCGCCCCCCCCGCACACACACACACACACACACACACCGGGGGGGCGACACGGGTGGGGAAGGGCAGAGAGGGGAGGGGAGGGGGGAGCCGCCAATCAGGAAGCGCGCGCGCGCAAGAGAGAGAGAGAGCGAGAGAGAGATGGGCGCCTTCCCTCAGGTCGGGCGAGAAGGCGCAATTCGAGCGCTTCCGCTCGGCCGGTCTCGCCGGGCAGCAGAAGCCGCCCGCTTTGTCCCGCTCTAGCCCGGCCGGGGCTGGCGGCGGAGCTCCTTTCCTTGGCTTCTCCCTCAGCAAGCCGAGATGAAGCCCCCGGCCCATCCATCCATCAATCACGGGGGGGGGGGAGGCAGCAGGTGCGAGGCTCCCGGGAGGCGGTGGCTGGAAAAGAGCGCCCGCTCCCCCCAGGCGGGGGTCTCCAGGAACGAGGCGAGGTCCGAGAGCCCCCTCCCCGGCGTTTCCTCCCCCCCCCCGCTCCCCAAGGTTCGTCCAAGGCAGGCCGAGAATAAAATGATACCCGCAGAAAGCTTAAAAAAAAATTAATCCGCTTGCCTCCAGAAGTGGTGAATGCTCCCAACAGTGTGGAGGTTTTTAAGAAGAGACTGGACAGCCATTTGTCTGAAATGGTGTAGGGTTTCCTGCCTGAGCAGGGGGTGGGACTAGATGACCTCCAGGGTCCCTTCCAGCTCTATTCTATTCTATTCTATTCTCTCATTTCATGTTACTGGAAGGATGGTGTGGTCGCTGCTAAGAACCAGTGAGAAATCCAAGTGCTAATTGTAGCCTATGTAAATATGTAAGATGGAGAGGCGGACAGGTGATAGATTTTTGTAGACTAAAACGAAATGCAGAATGATCCAGGTAATCCTCAATTCTTTCACACTTACGGCTGGAATCCCCAGATTGCAATCTTTCTGTGCAATAGAAAACTCCCTCTTGGGTAAATCATAATCTGTCATTGGTTTATTGTAGAAACACAATGGTTGGGGTCACTCAGGACCCAAAATTGTAAATCTGAGACAAAATCAAATTAACCACCCTGGATTTTGTATGGTGTAGAAGCTAGACCAGTCCTTCAACAAGTCATGATTCTTTAAAAAAAAAAATCCTGGCTTAATCATAGGTGAACCAAGCATATTCTCCAATTATTTTACCCCTCCCCCCATGCAAACAGTCCCCTGTCCTTTCCCACTAGTTTGTATCTCTGCTGAATTTCATACAGTGCTGTGCTTCTTCAAAGAATAAAAAGAAACGTGGTCTCAGATGTGTTTGCATCAGGCTTCTAAATAGAGTGATGCCCACATAAAGAAGTGGAGGTATAAATTAGCTTTACCCTGTGGGCATCTTTGCATTCACCCGTGAACCACAGATCCAGTTTGTCTGAAATGCAATTCTTGACCGCCATGCCTGTTACTTCCCAACAGAGTTGTCGATTTGGAACAATGCCTTCTATAACCTTTTAAGCTTAGTCCTCCTTGCTAGAAAATGTCTCTTTGATCACATTGTCAAAAAGTGTTATGTGCTTCTCATAAATCTGAGAAGTCCTTGTCAACATTACCACTGAGGTGAGCCTAATTCTCACCAAAGTGCTAAGCAATGCATCTCAGCCATCACGCCTGGAGAACTTGCTGTACTTCTAGAGTCAACAAAGAAAAAACATTTTCAATCCAGGTTTATTTACCATAAAAAAAAAAAAACACCCTGATTTTTTTTTTATGGTAAACATTTTTTTAAAAAACAGATACAGGTGAACAATGAATATTTTTTTTAAACTTAAATCTTTCCTACCCCCCAAAATGAGCAGGCTCACGCAGACAGCTACAAAAACTTTTGTTTCATGACAATCAGTAATAATCAGAAATAAAGAAACAAGTCATCCTATAATATTCCCTTAAATTTGCAGGTATTTGTGCAGGTACAAATCTATAAATGATTACTTTGATTTAAAATGAATGAGTTTATACAGTTACAGTAGCCCACTGTGCTGAGCCATAAAATATGGATTAGAAACCACAATGGGTAGATTCACACGGCATAACAAATCTCAGGATGGTTTAGGATGATGTGTGTACTCAGCAACATCTTCCCATAATGGGGAAAGACTGTCCCAAACTAGTATTTCTCCTGCTTCTGCTGGAACACCAAGAGTCCCTCCATCCTCCCAGATCCTATTTTTAAATTGTTCCTACTTCCTATCCTAAAGTTTCTCCTAGCACATCATCTGCTTCTTGTAGAAATGAATGAATATTGCCAAAATCTTTCTTGGATGGATGGATGGATGGATGGATGGATGGATGGATGGATGGATGGATGGATGGATGATGGATGGATGGATGGATGGATGGATGGATGGATGGATGGATGGATGGATGGAATGGATGGATGGATGGATGGATGGATGGATGGATGGATGGACAGATCGATCTGTGAAATGAATCTGATAGCATTTGATTGAAAGTAGTTCAAACCTTTGTTAAGTTTCTTTTTTGGCTGACTTTAGGAAAGTTCTGATATTCTTTGTGGTGTATAGCTTGCATTTGGAATTTTCAAGGGTAATGTCCTTTATCTAATTATTTTGGCAGAGAGAAAGTTTGGGAAATTTGGCAGCCATGAAGACAGACTCTTCCACTGACTAGAAGGTGAAGGCAGAGGTGAGCAAATTGCTAGCAACTCTAACTAGATGTGGGGGGGAGGCCTCATGGAGTAAAAAAAAAACAAAAAACAATGCTCATTTGCAGTTTATCTGAAATTGGTTTACAGTGGGAAATTACAGACACAAATCAAGCAAATTTAGTCAGTCCACCCTGTTTCCTGACCATAAACATTTAGTAAATTCTTGTTGGGGGAAAGGTCATTTCTCTTTGTAGATCCTTCAGAGGAGATCTGTTTGAGATAAGATGGCCAGGTAGGGGATGTTTGTGTGTATATGTGCTTGTGTGTGAGTGAGAGAGAGACAGAGGGAGGGAGATGGAGAGAGAGAGAGAAGCAAATATATCAGCGAAACAGGATACAAATTTACATAGTTCTTGCAAATTCCCAACGTGTTTGGTCTCTCTTGTTCTATTTGTGATATCATTTAGGAACTCTGAACCTAAGCATCAAATAAACAAAATATTTAGGCAAAGAAGAAATCCACTTCATTTTTCTTCCAGACTCTTAAGTTAGGCTTTAGAAGTGTGCTGCACAATCATTTTTTCTGCCTTTTCCATAATCCATTTGCATATGAAAATTGGCTGGACTGACAAACATCAAAATAAGCACATCTTCTGTCTAAATATCTGCTCATATGATTACTTGATTTTCAATGAGCGCATACAAAGATTTCCCGAAACCAAATTTTTATGGGTCAAAGTTGTGAGTCTTGTTGCTTTATATGTTAACCAGAATTAACGCCAATATCTACTAGGCATCCTCATTAATCTTTACCTGTTATTTGGTAAGATGGTAAGATGCTTAAAGTTAGGGAACTAGCATCTACAGTAGATTTTATTATATTATTAGCTTTTATTTAGATTAATTGGTGTAAACCAAACCAGGCAGATACCAGCCTAGTAGGATTGAATTTGCCTTTTAAGACAATTCCAATATCCATCAATCAGGGCATGGTTCCAAAGATGTATATTTAGAGCTGAGAATTCACAATTCAGGAAAGTACTTAGTATCTCCATTCATTTAATGGACTACTTTAAATGAATGGAGATCATAGCCTGCTTCATTTTAGCAATATAATTCATGGTATTAGGAAGCTACTACTGTCATTACAAAAAGTCAGGAGACAGAAATTCTTCCCTATCTATCATAGGCTGCTGAGAGATCTGCCATAAAATTATACCTATTCTCTGTTTGTGTCTAATATACAACTTTGACGGATACTGTTTTTGTTAGCCTATATAAAGTGAATAAAGGCTGAGTTTACACATGTATGTTTATTGTTCAAGTGCTGCAACTTCATCTGATAGCATGTCGTTGAGAAATAGCAGGCTAAGATCAAATACAAAAACAACTACCAAAACAAACCAGGATGGAGGAGAAAAGTGATGGGTATTTTGGTCCTTTTCTTGGCTTCGTTTATAATTTTAACCCACGGAGCACCACAAGGGGCCTACAGTAGTGATATCATCAGCAATGAGTGGGATGAATTATTAAGAAAATTATTAAGAAAACCAAGATCATGGCATCCGGCCCTCTCAATTCCTGGCAAATAGATGGGGAAGAAATGAAGGTAGTGACAGATTTTATCTTCCTGGGCTCCAAGATCACCACAGATGGAGACTGCAGCCAAGAAATTAAAAGACGCTTACTCCTGGGGCAGAAAGCTATGGCAAATAAAAAGCAGAGACATCACCCTGCCAACAAAAGTATGTATAGTCAAGGCCATGGTTTTCCCAGTGGCAATATATGGCTGTGAAAGTTGGACCATAAGAAAGGCTGAGCGCCAAAGAATGGAGGCCTTTGAACTATGGTGCTGGAGAAGACTCCTGCGAGTCCCCTGGACTGCAAGGCGATCAAACTGGTCAGTCCTAGAGGAGATCAACCCTGACTGCTCCTTAGAAGGCCAGATCCTGAAGTTGAAACTCAAGTACTTTGGCCACCTAATGAGAAGGAAGGACTCACTGGAGAAGAGCCTGATGCTGGGAAAGATGGAGGGCAAGAGAAGAAGGGGACGACCGAGAAGGAGGTGGCTGGATGGAGTCCCTGAAGCAGCAGGCGTGAGCTTAAATGGACTCCAGAAGATGGTAGAGGACGGGAAGGCCTGGAGGAACATTGTCCATGGGGTCGCGATGGGTTGGACACAACTTCGCAACTAACAACAATATTGCCTGTTCATTGAGTTCCATGCATCAAAGTTTCATTGAGAAGTATCTAATTTAAGAGTAATTAGGGGAGTCAGTTTGCTGTAGTGGTTAAGGCACTGGGAGACTTTGATTTCTACTTTCATCATGCATACAAACCTGATGGGTAGCCTTGGGCCAGTGCTTGTCTCTCAATGAAGAAAACTACATGGACTAGTCTAGGCAGTTGCTAGGACTCAGGACAAGGAAGGGAGAATGGGAGGAATGGGGGAAGGAAAGAAAAGGAAAGATGTTAAAAGATGATCATCAAAATATTCCCATTTTACCACTGGATTTTAGCTGCATGAGTAGAAATTTGGCTTAGAAGAGATGGTGCTTATTAAAATTAGAGTGCTAGGAAATCACTCCTGGATCTGTTTTTCTCTCACTTCCTTATTGGAGATGGTGGAGGTGTCAGTTCCTGGTCTATTTCTAGGGCTATATTAAAAAAGGGAAAATGTGATGCAGAGCACCACAACAGCAGCACAATCCCAGGAAAAGACAGCTTTGATTTAAGGAGCTGCTGACAGGTAAAATGTGCACACCCACACATGTTCCAAATCAGCTTTTTCCCCTTGAATCCAGACGGCTGTATAATAATCCAGGTTATATTTTTTCCCTTTATATATTTTCCAATAATTTTGAAGCCTCCCAGGTTGCTTGTACTGAAAAAAGGGCCCTTGGGAGGAGTTTCCTCTTCATATCTTACTTTGAGATTTAATGGAAATGTGTTACAGACCCCTGGAAAGAATATTGTGTTTTGAAAGATAAGGACATTCTTTAAAAAAAATTCCTTGGACCACTTAGGAACTACAGAAATGTAAAAAGACCATGCTCTACTGGTGAGAATTTCTCTTCTTTGAAAGAAATGGACTGGAACTTAGAGCAGAAGTTCACAAAGGCTGGATTCATGCCTTCAGACCTATAGAGAAGAATACTTTATTTAATAATAATAATGATAAAGTTGGAAGGGACCTTGGAGGTCATCTAGTCCAACCCCCTGCTCAGGCAGGAAACCCTGTACCATTTCGGACAAACGGCTGTCCAGTTTCTTCTTAAAAACTTTCAGTGTTGGAGCATTCACCGCTTCTGGAGGCAGGTGGTTCCACTGGTTAATTGTTCTAACTGTCAGGAAATTTCTCCTTAGTTCTAGGTTGCTTCTCTCCTTGATGAGTTTCCACCCGTTGCTTCTTGTCCTGCCTTCAGGCACTTTGGAGAATAGCTTGCCTTCCTCTTCTTTGTGGCAGCCCCTGAGATACTGGAAGACTGCTATCATGTCCCCCCTCGTCCTTCTCTTCATTAAACTAGACATACCCAATTCCAGCAGCCTTTCCTTATATGCTTTAGCCTCCAGTCCCCTAATCATCTTTGCTGCTCTTCTCTGTACTCTTTCTGGAGTCTCAACATCTTTTTTACATCATGGTGACCAAAACTGGATGCAGTATTCCAAGTGTGGCCTTACCAAGGCATTGTAAAGTGGTATTTGGTAAAGTGTGACTAGACACACAAGGAATTTGTCTCCGGTGCAGAAACTCGCAACGTACATGCAAAGCAACAGAGTAATGATAATCAT